TACTCAGGCAGTTCCCCAAAAGGAGAGACACTCTGAAGATAGATAGATAATAGGTAGATAAAGAAAAGTTGTCTCTGCAAGGAAAAATTAACTCCAGACACTACTAATTACTTGCTGTTGTTGTTCAGCCACTAAGCCATGTCCAACTCTTTGCAGCCTCATGGACTGCAGCGCACCAGCCTCCCTTGTCCTTCATTATCTCCCAGAGTTTGCTCAAACTCTTTTTCATTGAGTCACTGATGCCTAATGGAACCTTAATTTAAACCCAAGTTTGTCTCCTATGAGCGCTCCCAGTCTTTTTACAGTAACACACAGCTACTCAAAGAGAAGACGTTTCATAATTTCTAGTCTTTGAAATACTCCAAAGTACATTCTAAAAGATTATACATACACCTACACATATATATAATACATTCTCTTCCCCAGTGGCTCAGTGGTAAAGAATCTGCCTGTGAGGCAGGATACTCAGGTTTGATTCCTGGGTTGGGAAGATTCCCTGGAAAGGGAAATGGCAACCCACTCCAGTATTCTTGCCTGGGAAATCCCATGGACAGAGGAGCCTGGTAGACTACAGTCCATGGGGTCTCAAAAGAGTCAGGCATGACTTAGTGGCTAAACAACTAAACAACAACAATATATAATATCTCCATATATTTATAGATATATAAGTATACACACATACTCATATGTTTACATAAATGTGTGTGTGTATATATATATGTATATATGAAGGAAGAGATTTTATTATATTGGTAGACATATGAAAGGGTTCTACATCAGAACTATTTTCAGAAACAAAATCTTCCTGAATTTTTTAACTATCAAATGTCCAGGTATTTCATGGGAAGTATTAAAAATCTCTCAATATTTATTACCTAAATATTAAAAATTAGAATAAAATAATTTCTCTTAGTGCTATTCACATTCTTTAATCAACTGTGTATTTCAGTCACTCAGTCATCTATCTGACCTTAATACAGCATCATTGATATTTTCTAAAGACTGTGTTTTTGTCTTACAGTTTTTTTATAAAATTCCCCCAAATCTTTTTCAAAGATGCACTGCATGGACAATATATTGGACACTCTGTGTGTGTGTGTGTGTGTGTGTGTGCGCACGCACGCTCTTGCGTGCTCAGTCCTGTCCAAATGTTTGCGACCGCCTTGACTGTAGACCACCAGGTTCCTCTGTCCATGGAATTCCCCCGGCAAGAATACTGGAGTGGGTTGCCATTTCCATTGAATTTCCACACTGAAACACATAAAAATGTTGGCATAAATATTTGTATCAGTTTGCCTCTATGCAGAGTGCTTTTTTACAATGTATATGTTTATAAGACAAACTGTATCAAATAAGTTGATTGCATCTTGATACTCTTTGAAAACTTGGCTAAATTTAGAACTACAAAATTATAGGTTTTCTCCTATCTTATTCAACTTTAGTACAGAATATCAATTTATCCAATTAAAAATAGGAGTATGTCAAAAGATTTTTTCTCTCAAGTTGAACAATTCTAACATTTGAAAGATAAATATAGCATACCCTTTGCACTCCAATTATTTATTTTTTCCCCCGTTCCTCTCTTGTTTCTACAAGGATGCATTTGAACATCCTCCAATTTGTAAGCTTTGTTTTCAGTAATTGCATTTGCTTTTAAGCTTCAAATTTTGCTTAAGGTTTTCACTACTTTGAATAAAGATTCCCAAGTCATTTTTACAAAATGATACTACAATTTAGAGAACTTGCATATAATAAAAGTTCTAAAGTACTCTAAAACACTTAGGTATATTTAGAAAGTAGTGCTTCAGAGTTTCAAAGGTTTTTAAAATTGGGTCAATTTTAAGTAGCAATGAAGGAAAGCGTATATATTAAATGGTGATAAGTTCACTTCACTTATTTGAATAACATTTTAATTCTGCAGCATTGCAGCCAATTCCAAAGAATGCTGAACTAGGTTTAAAAAAAAAAAGAAGAAAAAGAAAGAAAAACAACCTAATAGCTGGTTCCAACCATTTACAAGCTGTGTGACTTGGAATAATCCTCTTAACCTTTCTGAGCCTCAGTGTTCTTATCCGTAAAAGGGGACCCATAATGTATGAAAAAGAAAAGATAGCAATGTGATTCAAAGAGTCTCTGAATTTGAGACAACCTTTAACGAGCAGGAAAGACTTTCTCTCCTGCTAAACCTGAATCCCCAGGCTCATCTCCCATCACCCCTCAGTGCATTTCTGATCCTTCTGATGGCAGGATACTCCCATGTCCCCAACATCATCTACTCTTTCACACAGAGTGACTGAAACACCTGGGAACATTTCCTTCCTGCTCCTTATGGGTAGAAAGTCTTAGCCTTGGCCCCACCTTTCCCAGCCATGGCAGAACTTGTCAATCGCACTGGTCAATATTCGAGGTGTGTGCTAAGCCATGTTCGCTAGGAAGTTCACCATCACGGTCAGGCACACTCACACCTTCCCGCTCTTACAGTCCCTACCCGGATGTGGTAAGCAGACCTTGACTTCCCCTGTTCTGTCAAGCAGGCTGCCTGTATAGTTTTCTCCCTCCTCCAGATTCCATGTTGTTAGATGGGTGATCGGACCTGAGTCCACATGAATACCATCAGACCCCCTCCACAAATAACCTGAGTTTGCAGGTGCCAAGGATCAGACGTGGTGTTGGGACAGGGAGGATGGTGAAGAAGGGCAGAAGGAAGAGCCCATCTTTGCCCTTGGCCTGAGTGCATATTCCATCACACTTCTGAGAGCAATCTCTGTATTGGGTGCTGCACACTGGACAGCTCGTCATTAAATGGTTTTGATTCTAGACGTGGATCTGGCTCTGCAGTGTGCGAAGGAGGCTACTGGGATGATTGACAAGGCAGGACTCAGACACGCCTGTATGCGGAGTCTGTAACATCATACCTGCCACCCTCACCTCTAGTGTGGTTAGTCCTTCCCCTCTCCCCTAAAAAGCCAACTCCAAGAGCCCACAACACCCCAGTTCAGAAACCCTTACCCCCAACCAAGTCTTCATGACACATGCTCACACCTCCAGTGCAACCTACATTTGATTCCCTGGTGTTGCACGGATTACTATACACAACTCTGTTCCCTGCCACTACAATGGTGTGCTCAGTCATGTCCGACTCTTTTGTGGCCCCATGGACTGTAGCCCACCAGGCTCCTCCGTCCATGGGATTCTCCAGGCAAGAATACTGGAGTGAACTGCCATTTCCTCCTCCAGGGGATCTTCCCAACCCAGGGATCGAACCCGTGTCTCCTGTGTCTCCTTCATTGACAAGCAGATTCTTTACCGCTAAGCCATGTGGGAAACCAATTGTGTCTTCTTCCATACTTTAAATTCCTCAGGGAATTTCTATTCTGTGTGTATCTCTTGAGTTCCCAGAACTGCCTAAGATATAATAGGCCTTCAATAAATGTGCTGAAGGAACATTAATTTAACATTACTCGACTGCTACCTGCCTTTATTCCCCAAAGGGAAATATATACCTACCATTTTCAAAGTCTGTATCTTGAGAGAAAATGGAAAAAAAACGGGCCTTGGAAAGCATATCAGAATTCTTGATCTAACTTTAAAAAGCCTGCAGCCATTGTAACATTTCTTTTCCATCTTCCCTAAGAATCTTTCATAACTTCTGTGGACTCTATTCAAGCTGTTAAAGGTTATATGCTTCCCCCAGCACCACTTATCTTTCAAGAAGCTTCATAACATCACTGCATATTTGCCAGGAGAAGTTCTCCCATAAAACTCCCCTGCCTGGTAAACAGTCTTCAAAGCCTTTGCAGTTAGAGCTCCCATTGAGCTGAGAAGCCTAAAGTTCACGTGTGTTAACCTGGGCTTGCCTGGGCCCCATGGCCGCCTGACAGCATTGATTTGGGAGGCCTCTGTCCCCCCTGGGCTCTTTGAGACTTTTTTCAGCTCTTTGTCAAGGAATAGCTAAGCAGTGTCAGCACTGTTCTCAGAACTTTACTTGTAATAAAATATCTGACCCTCACAGCCACCTTCCAAAGCAGGGGTGTCACCCACAAGCTGCTGGTGGGGGCATTAAGGCATTGACCCCTGATCAGCCTTGCCCTGGGTCGCACTGCTGGAAGTAGCAGGACTGGGGTCCCACCACCAGGCCTCCTTGTCTCTCATTCAGGAAAACATGATGGGACACCATGTGTGTGACCTTAGTAAATCATTTAGCTCTCAAATGTCACAAACTCAAGCAGGCAAAAAATGTGACTTTCTTTTTTTTTTTTTTTTTAAAAAGGGCTTCCCAAGTGGCAAAATTGGTAAAGAATCTGCTTGCCAATGCAGGAGACACAAGCAAAGTAGGTTCAATCTCGGGGTAGGAAGATCCTTTCGAGGAAGAAATGGCAACCCACTCCAGTACTGGCCATGGAAAATCCCATGGACAGAAGAGCCTGGTGGGTTACAGTCCATGGGGGTCATAAGGAGCTGGACACAACTGAGCAAACACACACACAATGTTTTTAATCTCTGCAGCTTTTCACAGGAATGTAATTTACAGCCAATGAAATACTCATTTCATTGTGTAAAGTTTGATAAATTTTGATCAACAGACATCCACATAATGCCTAGCTTTCTCAACATATACAACATGTCAATCACCCCCTAAAAGGTCTTTGAACACTTTCACAGCCAACCTCCGCCCCTCCAATAAACCACTGTTCTCTTTTCTTTTATCATAAATAAATTTTTAAAAATTTTTATCTTCAACTTAACCTAATTATTTCAAACTCTGTGCATATCATAAACATAATCTCAGCCAATTCAGGACTTTTTCCAATCTATTTCCCCAAGATTTTATGTAACATTTAGAGGTGAAGATTGTGCTACATTACCCCAGATTTTTTGAGATGGTGGGTGGTACTATCCTGGCCACGTGTCCATGCTGGTCTCTTCAGGGAGATCCCTGGCCTTCCCTGGTCTCCACTGTGGCCCCCAAAAGACGCCCCACTTTTTTCTCCAGCATCAAGGTCTCTTCGGCCTGGACCCTCTCTCTCAGATACATCAGGGCCCCTTTGAGGACAAAGGTTCTACAGCCCTGCACGTGCAGCTGAGCGGAGGATTCAAGGTACTCACAGACCCTCTCTGCCTAAATCAGGGCTGAACCCACACCTTCTCTGCTGGGTCACCATTTCCCACAAGTACACCTGAGGAAAGCCACCTGAACCCCTAAACCTCACACGGCAAAGAGGGTTATTTCTGCATCACTCTCCTTGCTGCTCTGCAGGGAGGGCAACAGCTATGCCTGTATTTCTGTACAGTTTGTACAGCCAAGAGTCACTTGTTTTCAGGGAGGCCGGCACTTACTCTCCCCCTGGTCCCTTTCAGAGCCTGCCTAGGTTCTGAGAGCTCTTTCAAAGCCTCAGGATCAGACACATCAAATGTCTCAATGCCTTTTGGCTATTCCCCACGAGCCATTCCTTTCCCCGAGGCAGCAAATGGACAAGATCCCCTTGCAGCAACTAGGAAGGGTCTCAGCGCCGCAGGAACTCTGAAGAATCCCATCTGTTAGCATGTTGAAAAACCCTCCCAGCATGGAGAAAAATGACAGTACAAGAGGAACGCAGAGCTCCTGCCTTAATGAGCTGATTCCTCAAAACATTCACATCATTAGCACTTAATAAATTGCCATCATTATGCAACATCCAGATATGGAAAGTATCATCAGATTAAACAGGAATCAAATCTTCCATTCGGTGCCCTCTGGGTGTTGTCTGGAGATGGGGCTGACATGAGCTATCGGTGGTACCCGGAAGGACAGCATGCATTGGAAAGCCCTGAGCAGCTGAGATGAGAGAGTGGGTGAAGATGCGGCAGTGACATCTGCAGAGGCATTGGATCCTTGCTGGAAGCTGGAGCCCAGGTGCATTTTCAAAGAGGGGAAGACACGAGTTAGGCAGGGGAGAGAAAGCTGTATCCAGTTCCCTGGACAGAGTTATACCAGGATCTTTTTCTTTTTATTCAGTTGGGATATAGTTGCTTTACAATAGATGACTCAGATCGTAAAGAATCGCCTCCAATACGAGAGACCTGGGTTCAATCCCTGGGTTGGGAAGATCACTTGGAGGAGGGCATGGCAACCCACTCCAGTATTCTTGCCTGGAGAGTCCCATGGACAGAGGAACCTACAGTCCATGGGGCCGCAAAGAGCTGGACACAACTGAGCAACTAAACACAGCACTTAGTAAAGAGAACTGAGCTTCCCAGGTGGCTGAGTGGTAAAGAATCCGCCGGCCAGTGCAGGACATGTGACTTCAATCCCTCAGTCGGCAAGATCCCCTGGAGAAGGAAAAGGCAGCCTAATCCAGTATCCTTGCCTGAAAAAGACCATGGACAGGGGAGCCTGGCAGGCTACAGCCCACGGGGTCCCAGAGGCTCAGCCACGCCTGAGCGACTAAGCGGCAGCACAACGGTGGCAACGTGACTTGGTTGTATTGTACACGTGTCCCCTCCCTCTTGACCCTCCCTCCCATGCTGCCCCCTCCATCCAGGATCCTTTTGAAGGTGTAACATCTAATGTACTTCTGGTCTTCACCCCCAGGACAGGGAATATGCTGTGGCCCAAGGATCCAGGGCCAGACAGGTCTGGATGTGAGCTTTATAGAATCAGCCTAGTGTCCTTAAGAGCTGGCTCCAAAGTCAGACTTCCTGGCTCTGCCATAGAAATGCATGACCTTGAGCAATTTACTTCACTTCTTTTTTCCCTAATCAGTAAAATGGGGAGAGGGGGCTCATATATGGGAGGGATGAAGAAAAACCTTTCTCTTTGCTGGTGGTTTCCAGGGGAGAAAAGATTGACCCTAACTTATCAAAAATCCTAAGCACAAGAGTTTCCATCTCTTTTTGGTTCTCACCTAGTCTGGACAGTGAATTCCTCTCAAACGGTAAAGAATCTGCCTGCCATGCGAGAAACCCAGGTTCAATCCCTGGCTTGGGAAGATCCCCTGGAAAAGTGAATGGCAACTCACTCCAGTATTTTTGCCTGGAAAATCAAAGGAGCCTGAGGAGCCTGGCGGAAAATCAGAGGAGACAGAGGAGGCTGGCGTGCTAGATTCCATGGGGTCACAAAGAATGGGATATGACTGAACGACTGACACTTGTCTGTATAAATGAAGGAACTCCGGCATCCACGTGTCCAGTCTGCAGACCCTGAATATCCATGGAGTAGGCTTTTCTAAGGACCAAGCTGGAGGCAAGGGCATCCAGATGCCAGGTGTTGCCACTCACCTGCATTTTGTTCTCTAATTCAGCTTCCATTAATATTTTAGCTGACCTAATGCCTCCACCATATTGCATAGCTGCCATTTCTTCTTTAGCTGATCCATACTTCCACCTACCTCACTGTTTTGTATAGCTCCTTGGTTCTCTCAAACTCCGACAGTAATGGCCCCTCCCTTACATAATCCCGGTGGTGATTACTTCCTGAGATAATAAAGAGATGAAGTGTCTGGAACATATTACATGCTCAGTAAATATTTGCTACTATAATTATTATTAGCAAATTCACTTTTAAAAATCACATAAGCGCTCATTCTCTAAATCCTTGCCTGTAGAATTCCATTAATAATTGTACAAGTTAGGGACTTCCCTAATGGCTAAGATCCTGATACTGAGAAAGTCTGAAGGCAAAAGCAGAAGGGAGTAGCAGAGGATGAGATGGTTAGACAGCATCACCAACTCAATGGACATGAATCTGAGCAAACTCTGGGGGAGAGTGGAGGACAGAGGAGCCTGACGTGCTATGGTCCACGGGGTCACAAAGAGTTGGACATGACTTAACTAATGAACAACAAAGATAACACTCTGTGCTCCCAAAGCAGGGAGCCCAGGTTCAATCCCTGTTCAAGGAAGTAGTTCCCACAGGCCACAACTAGGAGTTTGCATGCTGCAACTAAAGATTCCCCATGCTGCAACTAAGACCCAGCACAGCCAAATAAATAAATATTTCAAATAATAATAGCTGTACAGGTTAAATAAGGAAATATATATATAAAGTACTTGGCACCTGTCTGATGCTCAGTAAAGATTTCCCCTATCTTGGATTGTGTTACTCTTAGAAAGGTGTGTTCCTGTATCCTGCAATGTTTCAACAGACAGTATAAGGATGTTTTACAAACACTCTGCCACAGGATGGGTCTCCCAGATTGTATGTAACATTTGCCCCATCTGAGATCATTGACATGCTCTCTACCCCTCTCTCAAGGCCCTTACCCACGGGCTCTTTTCTGCAAAGATTTCTGTAGATCACCTAATGTCCTATACAGCCATGTCCTCCCCATTTTACCCTGTGTATCAAAGGTATATGTTGCATGTTTTATCTCAGAAGTGGAGTGGCATTTGAAGACTGGAAATCCAAGCTCCCAAACTCCAGATCTTTGCTGTATGTCTCAATTGTTTTATATGAAAGATGGTTGTGAATGATGCGATGTCTCCTGAGCACTGTGATGAGAAGTACGCAAGAGAAGACACAGGAAGAAGGTACTTCAAAACGAGAATGTGCTGTGAAAGCAATGCTGTGCTCCAAGTGAACCTGGGTTAATGAGAAGTGGGTAGCCACCCCCTCTGTGGGCACTCTAGTTTAAAACAACTCAGATCTCAAGAAAATTGATGCCATCTGTGCTGTTTCAAGTTGTGCAGCCAACTGTCTTCTCCTGGCAAAGTCAATTTTCAAGATATCAGGACCTCTAAGTGACTCCACTTATGGAATTCTTGGCTCTGAAGATATTGTTGCCACTAGTGTTATGCTTTATCAGGCTTGCGCAGCGTGTGAGGGCCAAAGAAAGGGGAAAGTGGTTTAAGACAGACACTGACCACAGATACGTCTCACGTCCAAGAGGGCAGCATAATTCATCTTCAGAGGAGAAGGTGCAATTGTTCGTGAAAACATTTTGATGTTCTGATAGAGAAAGTGAAGTACCCTAGGCTGAACCCAGATGAGAAGGGATAAACAAAAGGAGAGAGAGAGGGCTTGCTCTAGATCCTGTGTGAAGGAGTTCTGAGCCTGGGGAATTAAGAAATGAAGAGAGATGAAGGGGGCTTTCGGGGAAGCAAGAGGGAAAGCAAGAGAGAAGTGGAGGGTTTTAGACTTAGAGACCTGAATGGCACGGCCCCAGGACGGGGTCAAGGAGAACAATGTTGGTAGGCACTGGAGGGCAATGAGTCCCACCATCCAATATGATGTTGCTACTGCTCTGTGCCCCTCAACAATCGTCTGTATCCTCAAAGCCTTTCTAAAAGTCTGTCATAACTGGTAGTGTCATGAAAGTGGTGCACTAGGGAAATTAGAGAGAGAGAGAGAGAATCACGCTCAGAATTCAACATGGAAAAGTGGTGCTGAAAGAAGGTTTCTACTCCAGGACACAAGTGTGTGAACAGGGCCATCTGCAGTCCTGGGGAAGTGAAAGAGGTGAGCATGACTATACAATGCCCTGTGTGTCTGAAACCACGGAAATCTCAGAAGCTGTAGGGAAAGAACAAACTACATTTTGAGGGGCCCTGATAATTGTATTTAAATCTTAAAGGCAAGCACATCCCCCTAAAGATGAATAACTTAAAACTCACAGGCAGATTTTGGGGATCCTCTGAGTTGATTTCTATTTTTTTCTAAAATTTGAGTTGAGGAGGAAGCACAGAGATCATGAGATATAATCACCTCATTCTGATAATGAGAAAATAGAGACCCGACGATGCAGGCTGCTTGAACAGCTCGCTAGCTTATTGAGCAGGGTGCATTCGATGAGTACAGTAAGAGGTTTCATTTGTTTGTTTATGGTTTTAGCACTGCCTCCCTCAGTTCCTCTGGAGCTCCCCCATCGTCCCCTTAACAGCATCTCAAGCACAGACTTTTAGTTATTTTCAGCTATAATAAAAGTTCTATTTTTAGAGATTAGAAAAACCTAAACTTATTACATCACCCCTTTAATCGGCATTCTTTTAAAGCTCTTCCTAGGCTCTGGCCAAGGGGAGAGGAGGAGCGTGGGAAGCAAGGGTAAGAGGCATGGCTGATCCTACCCGCCCCCCCACCTTGCTCCAACTCTTCCTCAGCTTCATCTGTTCTCCTGGGCTCCT